AGCCTGTGCCAGCACCCAGATGGGGAGCTGGCCTTGCCAAAAGCTGGGGCTCCAGAGCACCCCAGCCCCAGGGACGTGCCAATGGCAGGCAGGAGGAGGAGGGACTCAGCCTGCCTGCTCCGGGCAGAGCAGTCTGGCAGCCCTGTGCTCCCTCTGCCACGGGTGGTCCGTGCAGCAGCCGCTTTGGGAGGGTGCCCAGGCCAGTGCAGCCTGGCAGGCTGCCTGCAGTGCCCTCACCCTCTTCCCCAGCCCCAGCAGGCGGCCCCTGGCCCCGGGGACCCAGAGGTGCTATTGGCAGGAGCCAGCCCTCACCCCTGCCTGCACCGCTCCATGTGGCAGAAGCACCTCAGCACCCAGCTCATAACTGCCACAGGGCGAAGGGACACAGCTCTAAGGCCACAAACCAGGTCCCTCCTGGGGCAGAACACCACCAGCAGAGCCCCAGGAAGGGCTGTTCAGCCTGGAAGGAGCATGGCTCTGCAGCCAGGGCCTCACACAGCACCACCGGAGCTGCCCGGTGATGGCAACCACTGCCCCTGACTCAGTTTCCCCACCTGCTGCTGCCAGGCTTTGTGGGGGCTGGCACCATCCCAGGGGAGCCCTCCTGCCTCCACTGCCAGCAGCCCCCGTGCGCGGAGATGGGTCCCCCTTGCGGAAGGCTGAACGAAGGTTTCTCCCCGGCAGCCTTGGACAAGCAGATTGCACGATTACAGCAGGCGCAGTAAAACGCAGACTTCGGCTCTTTCCCCCGGCATCAGCCGGGACAGGCAGAGACCAGTGACCCCGCGCCCTCCCAGCCTGGGCACCCTGGAGCTGGCAGCGCCCGCAGGAGGGAGCCCTGCCCTTCCCCTGCTGCCTGGGAACCCAGCAGGCACCAAGCTGACATGAGCCAGGGCAGCAGCCCCCGGCAAAGCAGCCACCAGGCTCCCGGGTGCCACAGGCAGAGCATCTCCAGTAGGGCCGAACCCTCCTCTCTGCACTGGGGAGACACGGGGGGATGCTGGGCTCCCAGTAAGAGAGAGCAGATCTAGTGAGGGGCTGTGATGATGAAGGGACTGGACTGCCCAGGAGGAGAAGCTGTGAGAGCTGGAGCTGCTCACTCCGGAGAAGAGAAGGTGTGGGGGATGTCACCCACGTGTGTGAAGATCTGACAGGAGGGAAAGGAGCGAGCCTCTTCTGAGCAGCGACTGCCCCGTGAAGGGACGAGACATGACGAGAACGAAGCAAGAACGTGAAATGCCACTTAATCTTAAGAAAACCCCTTTTTTCCTGTGTGTCGTCAAAGCCAGAGCAGGTTGCCCAGGCTGCTGTGGCGCCTGCATCCGTGGAGATGCCCAAAACCCATCTGGCCCCAGCCCCGAGTAACCTGCTGGACCTGGCCCTGCTGGGGCAGGAGGATGGACTGGCCATCTCCAGAGCTGCCCCCAAGCTCTGCACTTCAGCGACTCGGTGGGAAGCTGTGCTGCTCTGTGTGACCATTGCAGGGCACCTGGCCCCCACCTAACAGCCACCGGCGTTCAGTGCACGCATGACTGTTGGGTGACGTTCACCCCAGCACGGGGGAGCTGGTGAACACCTTGCAGGGGGGAAGGTCTCAGCACAGCAGAGCTGTTTTCCTCGAGTGGGCCCAGTGCAACCTTGCGCAAGTCCTGGGCACCTGGGCTTAGCCCCCCGCTTCCTTCCCCCTCCACCAGCTTGGTGGGCACCGTCCTCTGCAGGAGACACAGCTCCAG